CAACCTGAATTGTTCTATGATTCTATAAGAATATTTTTTTCCAAAAAATATTGTTATAATTCTCTTGGAGTCTGTCTGAAATGAAATTGGTATCTTTTCTTTTCGTAAGCAAGCCACACCTTGTCCTTCTGGCCATTTGGGTGTAGGAAGTTTGCAGAGCTCTCTGCTCGCCTTCTACACCTTTTCCAGCTTTCTTGATTTACTCCTCTGGCCGTTGCTGAGCCTAGAGATGGAAAAAGGCAGCTCGGATAGCTAATCCATCTCCACGTCACAGCCAGCTGCTTCCTGCAGTTCATTTGTTATTATTGTCCTCGGATAAAATCTAATCGAGCCCAGCGCAGTCAGAGGGACTCCATCAACGCTCAGAAGCCCGCGAGCAGGGAAGGCTGTTTAGAGGTTCCTTGTCAGAAAGAGTAATAATAATAATTATTATTTCTATTCAAGTGCTTCAAACTGTGATTTCTGTCGGTAGGTGGGTTTTCTTACTGCCTCACATTACTACTTTCTGAGGAAAAAAAAGTGTTTAAATCTGCATCTTGTAGGTGGGGAGGCAGAGTGTTTTGGCCAGGGCAGTGGAAATCCATGGTAGGTTGGGGAGCTGGACTACGCTCCTTGTGAAGCCCTGTGCATAACCTCAGGGTTATTGTCCCTGCAAAAGAATTGGTGGGGACAGCAGTCCATTCTGCTCTGAGTCAGGGCTCTGCCATGAAAATAAAAGAGAATATACCCAGGTGTCTTTATTTAAAAACCCAACAAACAAATAATAAAATAATTTTAAAAAAACCAAGAAAGAAAAAATAAACCAAAATGATTCATCTTTCTTTGTTCTTGTTTCTTTCAAAAAATATCTGCTAATGAAAAATATTAAAATTCTGGGTGTCCTGTATAATAAATAATAACATGAGTATGTACTTGGCTTCCCACAATGACCACTAAATCATCAATACAGCTCTTTTTGTGCAGCTTGATTTGAACTTTACCTATTTCCTTCGGCTATGGCGATATAAATAAATAATTTCACTTGATAAAGGTCTGGGAATGCTATACTTTAAAAGATAAGAAAGCTTTGAAGGGAAATTGTTTTTAAATCCATAACATTTGTATGCTATTCACTGTTCATACTGAGCAAAAATTCATTCAGCTGGCAGTTAACCAACCTGATTTTATTCTTATTCTGCGTTCAACCTATCCTTCTCCTGGGGACAGCTAACCTTATATGTAATTACCTCTCTGAGAGTGGGAAGGAAGCCTAAATAACCTTCCTAACAACTAAATAAATGCACAGATCCCTGGGACAGGTTATCAGTTGGGAGCTGATGGCAGAGCTATCAGCAATGGTGAGCCTGAGCCATGAAGAATTTCAAGACTTGAGTCATTTTTGTTCCAGCATTGGGCCAAAGGACGAGAATTTGAGACGTTTTCAGAAAACCAAACCAAACTACCCTGGATTTTTCAGATTAATTTTGTTTCTTTGATAGCTTGGAAATAACAGTGAGGACTTTTAACAGTGACAGTGGCTTTTTGTTTTCTCTCGAGGTCTGTCCAAGTCGCTTGGTCTCATTGAAGGCTATGGTGGACGTGGTAAAGGCGGGCTTCCAGCCACCCTGTCCCCTGAGGAGGAGGAGAAGGCAAAGGGACCACATGAGAAATACGGCTACAACTCCTACCTCAGTGAGAAAATTTCACTGGATCGTTCCATACCAGATTATCGTCCGACCAAGTAAGTACCAGTCACTTCACGAAGGAGTGCACATATTTACGTGTTGCCCGACAGCCAGGGGTGATGGTTGCTTTCATATTCTCACGCGATACTGTTTGTTCTTCCCTCCTTATCGTTCAGGCTCAGTAATGAACAACTGCTGTGTTTTGGCTGAAACTGAGAGAGTTCAAAAAGGAGATTTATCAGAGGGGAGAAAAACCTTTCTTCCTGCTCTTCTCTCTCCCTCTGCCTTTCTTTTCCTAAAGCAATACATCATTTTGGGTGGTAATAGTGCGATCAGAAGCTCACATCTGCTTTTGCCAGCAAGGGTCTGTTTGTTGAGCTATTGGCCTTTGGTGTTTATTACCTTTGCAAATGTGAGCAAAGACTCTCCTTCTCTCCCTCCTTGTCAGCTCCTTCATGTCCCTGCAAGAGCTCCAGGGCTCTGTAGCTGCCCTTGTGCTCCTCCCAGCACAGCCCTTCTCCTGGGGTGCTGCTGTGGCATCTCCTGATGATCTTTCTCAGAGTGGTCGCTGCAGGGGAGAGGGCAGAGCGCTTTAAACCTTTGCTGCTGCGGTGATGGGAGAGAAGGCAATAGAAAAGGCTTAAAATACCAGTCAGAAAGAGTAGCAGCTGCTGAGCAGTGACACCTGTGTGCAGGCACCTTTGGAGGGAGCCCAGTGGGTCAGGTAGCAATATCCTTTCTCTGCTATTTTTCCATAATGACCTTTTAAGATGATGGTGGTGATGATGTTTACCTGCTAAGCACCATAGAGGAACAGGCTTTAAATGAGCTGCCATATCATTTTTGTTAAGAGTGTGAGAAAAGACACGCTTAAGTTTATCTTTATGAAAGTCAATTTTAGATATGGCTAGCAGAGTGTTCCTTAGAATAGGAAAGCGTCGATTTGTCCAGGCCTGGAGTGAAATACCTGATAAAAAAGTGAGCTGAGAGAGATTTAGATTCTGAAAGATACATGTCCAGTGCCTGTGTCATTAGAACAGTGACAAAGCCATTGTTTGGCATCTGCAAACTGTTGAAAATCGTGCAGTACAGTGTCTCCAGTGCACTAGCAAATTGTTAAGGGTGTGAGAGCATGGAGAGCTTTTGTTTTCACTTCTCTGCATGCTGCATGAATTTCAAGCAGCCACTCAGACTTTCCAAGGCTGTCAGCCGCTGACAACAGAAATATTTGGATGAGTTTGCAAAGGCCCAGCCTCCAATTCTGCTGGTAATGGTTTGTCTGGACAAAATGAATTGCAGGTACAAGTTGCACCTTTGGCTGTGTGATATGCAAATCCCACTACAATGGCAAATCCTCTGAGGGAGACTTTCTGTAGCAGTTACCTGAGTCTGAGCTTCTTATTTTCATTTCTTATCCAGAACTCTGACTTCTAGCAGAGCCAGCATTACTTAGTGAGAATTAATTTGAGAAGTAATGCAGGGGTTGTTTTTTTTTTTCAGATCTTTGTGGGGGGGAAGAAAAGGATTAATTCTGATATTTTGGGTTTTCCATTGTATTCTTCCTCAGTGCTGCTATCCATCATTGCATGGGAGAGTGGTGGAGAGGACAGAGCAGACGCAGCAATTTATTAAAAATGCATCATTCTGGAGCTGGGCTAATACTTTGGAGAGAATTTGTGGGTATTGACTGCAGCTGCATAACTTAATATCTCTTATCCATGTAAGAACCTCAAGTGTGTGTTTTGGTTATTACCTTACATTTTTTTAGGATCAATTGTCTTGGTATGGTAAGAGAGCAGTTGATCTGGTTGTGAAATAGGTTTGAATTTGCTGGAGAGTTTGAAAAGTTACAGCCTATTCTGCTTCTGACTTCAAGACCCATTCGCTATTTGTGCTTGCAATTTTATGGCTGATTTTATGAAGGATTTAACACAAACCATTTAAGTCAAGTATCCTGGTCTCTGATTAAAACAGATTCAAGTCAAAGGAAATTAGCCCAAATGGTTTTGAAATTGCAGCACTAGTGGGGAAAAACTGTTGAAAACCCTCCAGCTGATAAGCATTACAAAGCATGTATTAGTTTTAAATATAATAGTGAAGCCTGTTTGGTTCAGCTAAAGGCTGTTTGGTGTCCAGAATGCTGATGGGCTTGGTCTCTTCCTTGCAGTTACTGTTGTTTGTGCATTCTTTCCTTTTATTTTTTTATTTTTTAAAGGAAAAGACTGATGTGGTCAAGTATCACTTTTCTGAGTGCTGAGCTGTGCTGGATGAGACCTTTTAGTCTTTCTCCTGCCCCACCTTTGTGACTGTGGCCAAAGTGAAGGAAAGTAAGAGGAGTTTAGAGCAAATTGGGCATGTTTTGTAATCTTTCTGTATTTAGCCCTCCTGCTGCACATCATGGTCAGCACCACTAAAGGTTCAGAGACTCAGGTGTCCCAGCTCAGAGAGATTTGCAAGCAGATGCTGGCAATGAGGAGGCATCACGAGTTCCAGCTGGTGGCCTTTCCAGTCCCTGCCTGCAGGCAGCAGAAGAGATAAAGAGGAGTTTTCCTGAAGGTGCTCAGAGAGGTGTTGGATACAGGGTGACACTCTGGAGAAGGTAAGGTCTTTCCCAAAGCCAGGAGCTGGGGCAGAGTACCTTGCTTGGATTGATTTGTGCAACTGTGGTGTTTCTTTTTGGTAGTTTGGATTACCATCCTTGTTTTGTTTATAAAATGCAGTTTATCTAAGAGATTTTCTTTTATTTTCTTAAAAGCTGAGGCTGCAAGGTAGAAAGTCTACCGTGCTGTTCAGCACTTGAGTAGTATTGGGCTTTATACTGGACTGATTCCCAAAAAAGCGCAGCTGAGAGTGTGGATACGTGAAGTAACACGTGTGCTACTATATAAGAGAGCTGTGCCTGTAAGACCTTAGTCTTAAGCTTATTAATACAGATGTTTCTTCTTCTGGCCTTTTGCAGAGTGGGAAAGGTTACATTGGGTGTGCATTGCAATGTGCTTTCAGAGCGAATCAGATAATGGTATTACATTTTAGATGACTGTGAAAGCTACTCTTTTGGCTAAAATAAGGGAGGACTAGTGTTTTGGTGCAAGGGACCTTATTCCAAGTCTTGCTGCGGAACAGTGGCATAATGAGATAGACGTAGGCAACACATTTCTATCTTGCTTGATTAGGTTTTTGGACTTCAAGATGAGGTTCCTGTGCGTTCCGGAGAACAATTACTGTTTCTAGATTGGAAGTACCCAAGGTGCTGCCTGCAGACTGCATGGCTTCTACACAAATCTCATTTTAAAAAAAAAGTGAGCTGGAGAGATTTTCTCCAATTTTCTCCAAAAACTGTGGAGGACAAGCCTGATCTGTGAGTTTTATTGTTGATCAATTCACAGCATTTTCTGCTTGCCCGTGAAGGATGGGGAGATATAAGAAGGTGTGTTGTTTTCTTTAGTGAAAGTGAAACGTATTTACTTGGGATCCAAGGGGCTGTTAACATTCCTCGCTTTGATACTAGATTTCATGCACCTCTGTTTTATTCTGTGATGTATGTTTTTGTGGGAACCCCTGCTACGTGTAGCGGGAAAATAAAAATTCCTGTGTTGGATCAGTCTGCTTGTTCATCTTATTCAGTGTCTAATCTCCAATAGTGAAATTAGACAGATGCCTCAGGTTGAAGAAATCATATTAAGGAAAACTATGACATAATCTGCCTATCTGCTACATTTCGTCTCCTCTATCCTCTCTTTTCAATCCTATCTAATATAAATATGAGTCCTCATTATCTCTTTAAGAGTCTGTTCCTTTCTGGAATCATGCTAAGCTCTGATTCAGTGGTATTTTATGGCATTATGGGATTAAGGAGTAGATTTAAGAAAAATAATACCCGCAATTGTTAGGACTGTTGAATCATTGGGTGAAGATGGCATGTTCCTGCTGCTGTGAATCTCTCGACATCTGTTCTTATGCAGGCAAGCTCCAGTATATTCGAGTAAAGAGGAAAAAGCAGTGTAAGCGATAAGCAACTTTTACACTTCATTTTCAGATGTTTTGAGGGCATCCAAGACAGGAGACGCTGCCCCTTCCTCCTCCCTGCCCCAGGGTCCTGCGTATGGGTCAGGCAAAGCAAAGCGTGGAACCAAGCTTGGGCAGCGCGTGTCTGGACCTTGATGTGTTTTTGTGTTTTCACAGTGTGCACTTGGGAAGAGTTTTGCATTTACTGGCTGGGCCTGGGGTCTTAGAGCAGTGTCCTGGGCAGAGCTATAGCATCACCTGGCAGCCACTGCTAAAGGTTAAACAGTTACATATCACTGACTTGATTTTAATTTTTCCCAGTTGTGTGTTTGGGGCTTGAGTCAGAGTCATTACACTCAAGTGGCTGAATCACCCGTTTATTTCTGTAGCTGCCTTCCCTGGGAGCAACTGGGCTTTTTGGCACCATCTGGCTTTAGCTGGTTTTATTACCCAGAGACTTCTGTGCAGCAGCAAGTTGAAAGCTTTCTTTGGGATGTAGTGGCAAAGACAGAAAGTTTTCGAGAATGCTTTAGGTTATTCTTTGACCACTTAGCTGAAAGGAACTAAATCCATTCTTGATTTTATTTTTATTTCAAGTGGTCTGTGTGTGCCCTTTGGGGGATCTCAGCATGTACGTTCTGGGGTGGGGGGTAACGGGAGGCACTGCTCCCTTTGGGGGCTTCTCCCAACCCTGGAGAGCCTCTCGCACCTCCGCCACGGAGCTGCCTTTGGGTCCCAGCCTCCGTGCGGGTTACCGGGAGGTTTCAGGGCCAAAGAATGGAATTTGGAGTTTGTAATCAAATCTGTGGGTACATCTTGTGGCGCATTGTGAACGTGGATGTGAGTTGGATACATCAGACCTGTCCAAGCCTTGGAGACCTGTGATTCAGTCTCCTGCCTCTGAGACCTCATCTCCGTTGTGCTGGACCCTGGACTTTGTTGTGCTGTGCTGGATGCTCACCGCGCCTGCTCTTGGGGCAGACTCCAAGCCGGGCAACGTTTTGTGTTCTGAGGCTCCACCTGCACTCTGTGGTTGGCCCTGACGGGGCTC